ATTAGCATTATTTTTTAACAAAAAAAAAAAAAAAAAAAAAAATTTAACAAGCTGCGCCAAACTCTATAGTATAATCGCAGGGATTGACAACTGCAGATGAAACTTTTGCGTTTGGACGTGTCACGTGCGTACAAGGACCTGAAACTGCGTGGGGAGGCTTTACAGGAGTTCCTCGCTGTCGTCGGAGGCACCGTACATCTGCGGCATGCGATCGTCCCGCTTCTGCTGCTGCTGCGGCCTGTCCCGGTTCTGGAGCAGAGCGATGCTGGCCGCCTTGTAATTTATCGGCCCGTACGACCGGTAGTCTACGTCGGCATAGTCCAAATCGGAGAACTCCTGCTTGAACGGCTGTGAACACAATATCGCGCGTCAAACAGGCGTTGGCGCAAAGTTATCCACATTAATCCATCTCTATACCTCATGAGTGGCTATTTTTATTTTTATTGTTATTATTATTACTACGTTTGCTTGTGTTCGTCGGAAAACAAAAAACAATAAACAAAACAAAAGCGAAAGCCACTTCCGAGTGGTTCACTTCGCGTAGAGATACATTGAAACGTTTAAATGAAAAAAAAAAAAATAAAAAAATAAATAAATAAATGATAACAGGCCAATTTATCCAGGCTTTTGGTCTTTAAGACAAGTTACGGCAAAACCATCACTTTATTGGCAATAAAAGACGAGTTAATCAAATGTAGGTAAGGTACATAAAAAAAGTTGTGCCACGTAATTTGAAATGATACGTGAGATTACGAGGTCAGTTATAATTTTCAGATGTAAGAACCTGGAAATGTTAAATTACCCGACAGTATTTTAAGTATCTCACGACGCGAGAAAAATCCAATGCGAATTCATATTTTGGATCAAACTTTGAACTTTCGATGAATTGAAGCGTATAAACAAATATCCTCGTATGATTTCGTCACGTAGGTATACACAAGCAAAAGTTATACCTTGTTTGGGTAAACGTGGTTTGTGCTGCATGAAATTTCGACGTGGTATACCTATTGCGGTGTACAAAATATATAGCGTTACGTTGTGTACACACAGCTGAAATTTGCATACTCGTACTTACGAAATTTGCTCGTGCGCGAAAAGTTAGTCACAATAAAATCAAAACAGTTGGAAGCAAAATCAAAACTGCAAACGTTAGTCTGCCGTTAAAATATGCAAAGCGCGCCAAATCTCTGAACAAACCAAACCAATGGCAAAACAAACGAAAAGCAAACAAACAATGAAACCTTTTGACCGATAATGATGAGGACGCGTGTTCGATTGCATTAGCCATGCCGGTCCAGCGATGGTCCCGTATTGTATACATATACGTGCATGGATGTATCGATTAAAATTCCTCCTGGGCCATCAAAGTACAGTATACGTGAGCACGTGAATGTATACATGAAGGAAGGAAGTCGTATTGGTGCAACAGACGAATCGGAGGGAGGAAGTGTAGGGGTCGAACTGTGGGTGAAATTTCTAAAGCAGATTATCAAAACTTTGTGGGGTAAAATTCGGTGCAGCGCGGCCCCCGCAGCTCTCGAGGATTAACCGAACCTTAGCCATTTATCCTGGCCTCTGGAAGTTCGTCGTTGAGCCGGTGGTAGAGGGTAGTTGGGGTGGAAAAACCAAGGGTAGAGTAGAGACGAGGATTGAAGAGCAGGAGGGGTCGGTGAAAAAAAGGGGTCGAAAGAGGGAAAAGGGACAGGGGAAAAGCAACGTGAACAAAAGCTATACGCACTTGTACATTTCGTCGGGGTAATAAACATGAAGTCTCTACTTCTCTTGGTAATAATAGCGCTGCTTCTGTACGTAACTATACGTATGGCGTGTAGTGGTCGCGTTTTAAGCCATTGTACTTTCGAGGGAGAAGAGGGTGAAAAAAAAGCAGCTGGTTTATACACGTATTATGCACGTGTGTGCCGTATATACCCGCTAGTACGCGAGAACTTGTGCGATTGTATACATATGCGAAGGGGAAAAAACAAAACTAATAAATAAATAATATGCCAACGCCTCGGAAGGTCGCGTGTTGTTCGGTCCGCGTATAAAGCAGCGCCTCGACAAATTTACGTGCGTTGCATTATTTTTGTTCCCTCGCGTGAGGCTCTCCGTTTTTTTTCCTCCCCTCGAGCTGTTTTTCTTTTATGTTTACGGCAACTCATCGTGCCGTTTGGTGCACTTTTTGGAGGCAGCACTGAGCAAATCCATGCAGATTTTGAAAAATAACACAAGTTGAGCAATTATAATGTTACAGCTATGAAAAAACAAATAAAATAAAATAGAAAAGTTTGTACACAAAGAATTTTACGGAATAAACTATATCAGCATTGCACTCGAGGCATCGAGTAATTGAAAATTGAACATTTAATTGTACTACTGTAATTGTGGCCTTTCGTCGATACTTAAAGGGCACTGGTTGATATAACAGCATTGGTTTTTCATGAATTTACCAAGTTTAAATGTGCCTCTTGTTGAGGTAGGATTATTCTGCATTGAAAATTTTAGCTTACAAACTGTTCGTGGAAAATCCATTCTTTCTGCCACGTTGTTTGTAAAAGGAGCACCATTTGGCAGCAACGTTTGAAAAACCGTGTCAAACTTTTTTTTTTTACGCGTATACATCCCCAATATAGACGTTTTGTATTTTTTCACGCATATTATAACGGAATAAGGGCTGCGAAACGAATGGAAAAACGCGTAGGAGATATACCATGCGACCAGATATGATATTTCGTTTAACCGACGAGCACGAAGCGAGCGAAGAAATAACGAAGCTCGTAACGAAAGGGATCGGCTGCCGGAACATTATTTCCGCAGTCATCTGCACTCTCCGAATCGGAAGCCACTCGGGGCACTATTGTTCCGGACGCGTGTGCATTCGGCGTCGAGGGGGAGGGGGGGGGCAGCACAATTCATAAATATACACACATAATGTACACGGGACGAGGGTACTCGAGTCATGAACAGCCTGTATGTATACTTTTACGGAAGATAGCCTCGGGCCAACAACGGTGAGTTTAACGAACCAGGGCTGAGAAGGGCCATTTGGGGCCAATAAGGGGCTTTGTACGCAATTTTCTGTTTAATTTCTCCCCTAATGTTCTAATCGTCATCGACCGAATGGCGAAAGTTTGCCGTACACAATATCGATAGATAATACGATGACATGTATAATAAAGTATGTACAAATGACAACAATAACAATGATAATGATGGTATATACCTCTTGGGCAGCTTGGAGCGGCTCCTACCGAGGCTGCTGTCGGCCTGCACGAACTCGCCGGGCTCGCGCTCGTGCTGCCTGTAGTAGTCGTCCTCTTCCTCCTCCTCCTCCTCCTCCTCGTCGTCGTCGTCTTCCTCTTCGTCGTTCGGTCCGGCCCCGTTGCAGCCGCCCGCGTCCTCGTAGTAATGCGGATACGAGATCTTGTAGCTCTCGGGTAGGCCGAGGTTTTGGTGGTACACCCCCCGTTCGAAGCTCGTCTCGCACGACGACGTCAGACAGGGGAGTTGCTGGAGGAGCTGTTGCTGGTGGCGCTTTTGCTTGCGCTCGTTGCGCTCGTGCTTGTTGCCGCGGTACCTTCGCCTCTCGGCTGTGCTACGGCCCGCGTCGCCCTTCGGGTGCCTACCGTTGCGCGTCTGTTGCTGCTGGCGGTCGTAGCTCGCGAGGTCGGGCACGTCGTTGGTACGGTAGGGCAGGGGCTCAGGGGCCAACACCGAGTAGGGCAGGGTTTGGGGCTGGGCCGGCCCGCCGCTCACCGTTTGCAGGGAGTGCCGGCTGCTCGCGTGCTGCATGGCGAGGGAGCTTTGCAGGGGACTGACCACCGAGGACGAGTTGTGGACAGGGCCGCGCTTTAAGGGCAGGGTCAGTTGGTTCGAGCTGTTGCTCGGCAGGGCGTACCCGTATTGCTGCATCTCCTGCTGCTGGTGGAGCTTCTGCTGATAATGCTCTTTGTAATCGTAGATGTTGCCCGGCTGCAAGGGACCCCCACGACTCACGGTTAGTACACGCAAGCACATGCACATATTATCATGATGATGATGATGATGATACTCCATGCAGGATCCAAAAATAAGGATATGGATGATGATAAATTTTATTTCAATTGCTTCATAGTCATGGGTATTGCGAGTGAAACATGGTACGAGGCTCCATAATTACAGCGAATGTATATATACAGGATGATCAGGGATACGGTATATCAAATTAGTAACTACTACGGTGGAGGGTCGTAGGTATCGTTATACAGATAACATGAAAAAAGTCGTGCAGCTAGCATAATATATATATATA